GTTTTTTTTACCCCCTGGTTTTGTGGAACGTCCCCCCCCGCCTGCCCTTGCCAGCAGCCCCGGGACAGCGGGTTTGCAAAGCTTGGCTCCGGGGCAGACAGCAGCTTCCCCAGCCCACAGGTTACCCTCTGCAAAGGGCAGGGCAAACAGGTGAAAAAGCGTTTTATGAAAAAGACAACCCTGAGGCATCAATCACGACGTGAGGTTTTTTTTGTTTTTTTTCAGAGGGCCATAAAATCACAGTTTTTCAGACGTAAACCAAACTCTGTCCCCAAGACCCTGCTATTTGCCATTTGGCACCACCCTCACTGTGGTGCTGCTGAGGACAACGAGGGGCTGAAACGCAGTCGGTCACCCCAGAACACAGCTCTCCCAAAAGCCGCAGTGCTTTTTGGGTGGAAAGTAAAACATTTATCTGACTCTCAAATCAAATTTTCTCACAAATCATGTGTTTTGGGAAGCCGGTCTCCTCCGCAGAAAACAGAAGAAAAAGTGGAGGCTTGGTGGGTAAACCGTGAGGTCCCTGTCAGTTAAGCCAGGTTTTTATAGGTTTTGTATCAACGCAGGTTTTGCTGTCAGGGTTTCATGGGCGGCACTGGGGCTGGCATGCAGACCCCGGGGGGGGGGTGTCACACGTCCCTACCAAAGCCTCACTGCCCTGCAGAGCTGCCTGAAGTAAGTTATAGTGGGAATTTGTGCGTGAAAACCAAGGAAGCATGTGAATGAGGTTCTGCCACATGTGGAAGAACCATCTTCATGCCATGGTATCCTTAGGGGCAAGAGCTAGCAAGTCGGCACCACCGCAGAGAGCACATCAAAGCCTATATGAAGCCCCTGAAGGCACCCGTATAAAGAGGCAATTGATTTCTTGGCCAATACTGCAGACACAGGAAATTCAGGGAAGCATGCATTTGGGTATGTTTTCAATGAAATATTAGGTCCCTCTGCAGTTTGTCGATCCCTAGTGAACAGCCATTTGAGAGAAGTGCTCACTATCCCAAAGTCAGGGAAATCTTCCAAGCTCGTAATAAAGAAACGTGGCCCTGTAGGATTTCCCGAACAGGATTATCCCAAGTCTAAGGACAAATCTTGGGTTTGCTTTGACTATCTGTCATCTCACCATTAGAAGCATTCATGAGATGATTAGCTGCCTTGAAATTTGGTCTTACCAGGACAGATAAAAACCCCCCAGTCTGCCCCTCTCAAGCTCAGCGCCTCATCTGTTATGCCCAGATGAAAAACGTCTCCCAGCCAGAAGGACAGCTTTACTCTGGAGGCCTCAGGATCTGGAAGAGAGCAGCTCTGAGAAGCAGTAGAAGGACAGATGACAGAACTGCCATTATGGGTTTGAATCTAGCTGTGATTAATAATTTGTAATTTTTGCAGATGTAATATGTATGTCATCCTTTACCTCTGTGAGAGCTTTCTACTTGACTGCAAAGAGTGAAATCAAAGGGATACTAATGAAACTGGACTGAAGCGAAGGCAGAGCTCAGATACCAGCCTGCAGGACACCGAGTCACTGGGAGTTATTGGAAGGTGATCAATGGAGAATATTCCCAGCCAAACCAGCAGTTCAAACTTCTGCAAGCGTTAACCCAGGGCACTTGCAATGCGAGAGCCCATCCAAGAGAAATAAAGGCATGGAAATAATGTTCTTGGGGACTGGAAAAGGGTTCCAAAAGAAACAAGTTTACAAGATACTGGCTCATAATAGTAATTAAATCGCTCTCACTGAAAAGCAGCAAAGTGATATATAGCAAAGAATTGGTCAAAACCCCAGGACTTTAATCAGAAATAACTGGAGAGCCTTTTACCAGTTTCAGTGGAGGGAAGAGAGCCTGAATGGGCAACAGATAGCCCCAAACAGGGTTCTTCAGAAAAAAGTCTGAGGAACATGAGGAGGAGGAGACTCAAAAGGAGAAGGTTGGAACTGCTCACGCTGCAGCAGCACCTCGCCTGTGACCGGTCTGTTCACATCCAGCACATTCCACCAGCACTTATCTCACTCTGCAAAATAACACATATTAATACTGCTGACACCATATCATCCTGAAGATCTGAATTTTATTTATACACAAATCAGAGGCGAGCCTAAGTGACAATAAAGTTTCAGAAGGTCTTAAAAGTTCTAGGAGTTCTGAGCATTTTATTAGGTGAATTAGCAATTCTGCAGTAAAAGTAGCTTTGGGTTTCGCCGTTCAATCTTACTTTTCCATACTGCTTTCAGTTTTCAAGATGTTAAAGAGTTCAGCCTGCAATGCGCTTTGGGCTGCAGGCAAGGAGTAAGTTTGTAAAACATTATGTGCCACTTCTACAGAATATGGGAGTCCTTCCCATCAGCACACTCTCTCATTTCTAGCAGAAGATGGTAATAAGCATAAAAGAAGAACAAAATCTTACTAATGGGACTTTAAACAATCAGAAAGCAAATTATGACAGCAATTATGACAGCTCAGTGCTTGGCAACACCTTCACCTTTCCCAGATGTCAGAGGATAAGCTACTTTTACTGAAAAAAAGATGATAGAAACTGGGGCTTATTTGGACATCTGCAGCAGAAATTGATTTAAAGGGATTTGAGCTTTGAAAATGGGGTTTGGAGGCAACTCATTGGGCTTTGTTTTTCTGGAAGAGGGGACAGGCCACTTCACATCCTTGGTGCAGGATGAGTCTCTTCACTGGAATGCCTGTCAGTCACATTTAAATACGTACAATATTTACTTTTTTCACTCTCTGGACCTAGACGTTTAATAGGCTTTAATTTTAGACTTTGGTATTGGACAAGATGAAAGTGGTACTTTCCCCTTTTGGGCACATCAGGGCTTCCACTTTTTTCAAGCTTTTTTTCTTGCTCCATATAGAGCAGAGAAAACTATTCCCCAAACCACAACATTATTTCCCTGTTCCCCTTCCATCCCAGCCAAGCCATAGTTTCATCTGCCACCGCCACTGTCCTTCTATTTGCAGTTGGTGACCACCAGTGCTAACCTAAATCCGGCTCAGGTTTATTCATCCATCGGCTCCATCATTCCCACTCGAGCCCCATGCTCAGCCATGGCCGAATCCTCCATTCTCCCTGAGCATCTGCTGAGCGCACCAAGTCCGTTAGGGCAGGAGCACGTCAGCTCCATGTGGCAGGAGCACTTGATCCATTGAAGTATTGAGTTTCATCATGCAGCCTTCAGTTATGCGACCCGGAATATTTGACCTGATGTCAGAGGGGGCCTCGGGCTATTGAGATATTTCCCCGGGGCACCCTGCCCTCTTTCTACCAAAGGAATCCGATCCAGCAGCAGGAAAGAGTGAGACTTTTCAGCTGTCCCCATCCCCTGTGAAACAGCCTGAGCTACATGTGCCTAATATAAGGTGTCCCTTATCTACTTGCTTTCTCCTCTTTTCCTCTCTAGGTACTAATCCTGCGCTAATTTCCACTAATAGCCACATAAGATACTGTGATAAATTAAGTTCTTGCAAACACAATGTATTTTTCCTTTTTCATAGGATCTTTTCATAGCCCCATGTGGGCTCCAGACTTGCAAGGTGCTAAACAGCTGATAACCTTGTTCTCCACCGAAATCAAGGCTGGCCAAAGGCGTGCAGTATTTTGCAGAATCAGACTGCATTTGTAGAATTTGTTTCATCCTTTACTGAAATCCAGGGAGAAAACCTCTGGAAGCAGAAAAGAGCAGACATTTAACACAAATAAACCATAACGCTTTAGGAGGGAATGTAAACAAAACCTACTCAGCATGGATTTAAAAGGAGGAAGAAAAAAAAAAGAGCAATAGCCCAACGTATGCAAAATGTGGGATCTTCATTGTTTCATCAGGTTAGTACCTCAGTTGTAAATCCCATTAGAAAAGCAGGGTCTCCCACAGTAAACCATGGCTGGTGTTAGCTCACAGACGTTACTAACTAGCCCTAAGACTTGCTAACTTCAGCAGCTGAAGGCTGGTAACCTCTCCTAAGCCACTCAGCCATTCACTGCCACAAGAGCCATCACTCAGTCACATCGCTTCCTAGAGCAGCAAGTTTTCCACGGGAGACTCCTGTGTAAGCATTGCTATGCCTGCGCCCCCTTCACATCCACTTCAGTGTCATGCAAAGAACTATATGTGAAACAGGGAGATTATTCCTGATATCAAAACTCCCAGCAGTCGGGAGTTGATCCCCCCACTCCCCTGTCTGTTACCCTTGTGTTTTCTAACTCTGCTGACTACAAAAGGTGAAGTCCAGAACTCCACTGGCTTTAGGAGAGGCAACAAACCTCTTGCATAGGAAAAAGCCTTTCAAGTTTATTTTCTTGCCACCTACTGTTTTCAAGCAGGGGGGTATTATTAATGACCGAAGAGTCTTGAAAATAAAGAAAGGTATCTGGGTATAGAGTTTTTACTGCTATTATTTAAACATCAGCATAGAAAAAAAGACTAGTCTTTTCAGGCTTTAGCAACTCAGAGGTGAAAAACTCTCTCAAGAGTTTTTGCAGATGCCAAAATAGGCCTGGCTTCTGCAAGGAGCCATCCTTGAATGGGCTTTTGCCCTTAAATGACACACATTTCACGGATGCCTGGTCTCTCTCCCCAGAGTCCACTGTGAAGGAACACGTCTTGGTTGAAGTGGCTGCTGCTGGGCTGTAGATGATCCAAACACTCACATGTTGCTGCTGGAAAAGTAATTTTTTGGCCTTTGCAATAGTGTGGGTGAGAGCGTCAGCTAGTAATTGTTTGAACTGGCTCACTTGTCCACATAGCATCTAGGAACTGTGCTTCATTAGGCTAGAATATACAAAAGAGAAGCACAGCCTCAACACTGAGGATGGATGGAGTCAGGATCTCCTCTGTTCCGATTCCAGCTGGGACGCTACACTTGACTCGGGGTAACACTTTTAACCTCTCTGCATCCATTACCCCAACGTATAAAACAGGAAAACAGTAACAACCTTCCCCCCGAATTGGCTTTGTGAGAATTAAGGTTTGAAGAATGTTCTGAAGATTAAATCCCACCCCAACACACACCCAAAAACATCACAGTTGTTTAAAACTGAATGGCATAATGGAGATAAGTACAGCCGCAGAGTCATTTGGAAAGTCCAGACAATGAGCACATCAATCAAGGCTGCTTCCTAAGGCAGACATCTAAATAAATGCTAATGAAGTCATTTCTACAACACCCCCAACCAATGGGGGCTGCAGTACTTAAAAGTAATAACAGCAGCGAGAACAGACTGTCCGTTAAAAAACAAAATAGAACATTGAAAAACCAAAAAAGAAAGCAACAGTTTGTGCATTTCAGAGCTCTGAGAAACACTGTACCTTTGAGCCAGGCTTTTGTTCATGTGAAGGCTTTTTTTCTTTCAGCCCTCCCTTACTTTCACTGCCTGCTTTATCATTCGTGCTTTCGCTTGCCACGTACCCAGATGCTACAAGAATGGGCAGACTGTGGGCCTAACTGAAGTCTATTGACATCAAAAGGCTCCCATTGACTTTAACGGACATTTAACTAACCCTCTATAAATCACTGAAAGTCAGTGATTAAACAGACAGCCCCTTCTGAATAGTGGAGAGACTAACATAACGCCCCTGAAAGTTAGTTCCTATATTAGCTCCAACGCTGCATGCTTAGGGGCAAGCCTATGTCTGCTTTATCTCATAACCTCCATGCTGAGAGTATTTCAAAGAGAAGGAGAGAGAGTTTCTCTCCAAGCCAGGGGAGAAGTTCCATAATAGTGCCCCTATTTGGGGAGCTGTATCAGCTTCGCTATATTTTCTGAGAGTCGAGAGCGTCCCACAGCAGTGCCAACCAGCTGATCCTCAGATCCTGACGTGGACCACGTTTTGCGCGAGAGGGGCTATCTGGAAGCTGTTGGATGACTTTGGGCAACGAATGGTGGAGGTTCATTTGAGGTCCATGACACACCCTCTGAATCCTGAACCTACTTCGTTAACAGAAGTAACTGACTGACCGGCTGGGTCTTTGCAGCTGCTCCAGGTGCACTGGTGCGCCAGCTCACAGAGCCTTTCCAGAACGCGGCTCGCTCATCTGCCTCAGTTAGTTACACGGAAATTTTTTGTGGCTGCATAAAGAACAGCACTGACGCACACCTCATCTCTGTGGGGTTGAAATGTGACTAAAGTCGTATTTTGCGGCGCACATTGCGTGCATATTTGACCATGTCATCTGCCTGAGAAGTCACCGCCCTCCTGAAGTCCCCCCTCTGCGCAGGCTGGGACAACCATCTTTCACTCATCTGTTAACACCTCCCAGCCAGTCACCAGTTCCTTCTGCACAAAGCAGCACTGGGCTGACAGGTTTGATGATCTGCAGATGATGTTCAGCCTTGACTCATAAGCCAGCTATCTCCAGGAAATTTTATATCACTGGAAAGGCGAAATGCTCAGCTGAGTAATGGGACACACAACTACTCCTAACCCCAGGCCATTCCTGAGTTATCTTTTTTTATACTTACAGCTAAATCATTTTTAAACAAAGTAAAAAAATTGTGAATGCTGAAAAATACATAATATCTCAAAGATCTTTTCTGAAGGAAAAAATCCCCCGAATGATTAAAAAAGGGGAAAAAAGCTACTGACCCATGTTACAGTGGCTCGGTGTACCTGCCCCTCAGCATTCCCCCACTGCCAGATCACTCCCCTGAGTCCCCTGGCACTTGGAAGAACTGGCAGCAACCCCAGCGTACTCTTGGGACTACACCAGTGCCAGGACAGTCCTGAGATTGAGGTGGCTCCACTCTACAACATGAGGTACTAGAAGACCCTTGGTCTGACTGGACTTGTCAGCCCTAATTTGGTCCTTCAGATGGATGACAATAATTCCTAGGGTTTGCACTACTCTTTTACACTTCCCAAACATCTTTGGTTTGCAAAGAGCAAAGGGGAAAAGCCAGGCTCTACCATCAGGGTCAGATTCTGGGATGAATCAGTGAAGTTCCTATCAAGGAAGAAGAGCCAAAGCCTGGTAGAGACTAGGTGAGGACCAGGACTCACCATC